GCCAAAGATTTCTCTTGTAGTATCAAGAGTTTAAGGGATTCCCAGGCCTGAGCTTTGGGGTGGTGGGGCTATGGGCTTTATTGAAGTGCCCTGCATGAATATCAATTTTCAGCTTTTGAGCCATCCCAAGTGTTGTTATTTGCTTGGAGATTGCTCTGCTGCTAGTCCTTCAGTGGCAATAGCTTGTCCACACTTCAGTGGTGGCTGAGAGCCTTTTCCAGCCATTTGAATAGAAAGGGATGTTTCGTTCTGCTCTGCCACGTCCAGTGAGACTGACTGGTGTAAGCTCAGTGGATGGGTCTATCTGGCGATTCCAAATCCAGGTGACTGAAGGAAGAAGCAGAAAAGGAAAAGAAAGAAAACAGAAAGGGAAAGCAGATTTCGATACAAACTTGTCTGTCTTCACCAACCTCTGCACAGCCTGCATCAAGCTGTGTTTCCTCATAGTCAGGAACTCCCAGGCACCTCTTGGGTTTGTGTCAGTCACAATAGACTTGATGAGATTATCAGATCAAGTGCTGTTTTGAAGCTGAATGCAGCCTGATTGAACTGTTTGCAACAACAGCTCCATTTCAACATTGATAATTTTCATTAAAAAAACCCAGTAACTCAATTTGTGCGCTGCAGAGCTGTGCAGCACAGTTTACTATGGAATGCTAAGAAATAGCAATGTTTATTATAAGTATGGGACCACAGAGTCATAGAAAATTAGGATTGGGTAGGGACCTCAGGAGGTCATCTGGTCTACCCCTCCCCCCCTGCTCAAAGCAGGACCATCCCCAACTAGATCATCCCAGCCAAGGTTTTGTCTAGCTCGACCTGAATGTCCTGGAGTCCCAACTCACTGACCATTATTGACCTCCTCTGGACGCTTTCAAGACACATTTGGATGCCTATCTTGCTGGGATCCTTTGACCCCAGCTGACTTCCTGTCCCTTGGGCAGGGGGCTGGAGCTGATGATCTTGCGAGGTCCCTTCCAGTCCGAATGTCTATGAAATATATGAAATGGGTGTTTTGGCTGAGTCAGGAATGCAGGTTTTGACTGATTAGAAGTCACCACTAGCCCAGTGCTCCCCAGTACCCTCACTTCTATTGATCATCCTGCTGGTCCATATTACAGCCCTGGGAGGGGTAGGATTAAATAGCCTAGCAGTAAGCTGTGGCTTGGAATGTGCAGAGGAGACTAGTACATACTTTGGGATTTAGAAAATATTATTACACCGTTTCACTTTTCATATTTTTCCAACCTAAATCTGTTGGCAAGAGCCTGTCAGCTCTGGAGATTGCAGTCCTCAGTATACAGGGAGCCACAGTCTCAGCAGCATACTGTAAGCCTGCCCCACAGGGGTCATGAAGGCCAGAGGAGCTGCTAGGCAAGCAGTCAGTAAAAGCTTTCTAGCTCCTGGATACCAAAGGGTGTGCCAGTGAGCTGTAGGGAAATAATACATTCCCCTCCCTTAAGTACTGCAGTATATTACACCGCTTGATCCAGAGTCAAAGGAATTGAACCCATCTTCATACTTCGGATTGATGGTCAGTGAAAGCCCAGATGTAGCTGCTGTGCAGTATTCTGCATATCTGGTGTCCCTTTATGGCTGTATTGAATAACAGTCATTCAAAGGGCGGGCAGGCCAAGTTTAAGCAAGGTACTTCTCTTATTGTAACTGTCTGGGTCTATGTTAGTCAGAATGTTGACTTCCTTTTCCTGGAGCCTCCTATTTTCCAAACTTGTGTTATTTTCACAGAAATTTCCAAGTTTTCCAGTTGACTTTCTAGAAGATGGCTGCAGGCTGAGCTTCCCTCAAACCCTCTGCAGTGTCCCCTGGCTGGGGAGAGATGGGCCACAGCACTGGCAGCTCCAATAAGAAATCATTTTTTGACCGCCATCCATTCCAGGAACTAAGCAAGAGCCAGATGAAGCTCCAGCTTTGGGAAATTTTTAATGGAATCGACCGAGATGTGTTTGGAGACCAGTTGAGTGTGGAGTGGAATGAATCGCCATCATGGCTAATGTCTTCAGCTACTGCAGCAGCTATTTTTGCACCCCCTTCCCCAACGGTAACATCTAGGATTGCTGTCCCAGTTGCTCCCACTCAGTTAGGCCTCTGGTCTACTCTGCAAGTACACAGCCAGAGTGCTTCTGTGCCCATCATGACAGGGAAACATTTCACCATGTCCTGCCATTTCTGCCAGAAATATCCTTGCACCAACCCATGGAAAAGTCTTCTGTTTTACATATGACCTGATTCAATGCCCCCTCTGGTAAATTAGTGGGAGCACCCAATTAGTTGGATGCTGTGCAGGGATGGCTTAACCCTTTAGTGGGCCCTAGGCAAACAAATTCCTGGGCCCCGGGCCAGTTGAGACCCCCCTCCCCACCCCGGCACTGCCGCCCATGGGGAGCAGGGCTTGGAGCTGCCGCTGCAGTAAGGCTGGCAGAGGGGAGGGGAAGGGAAAGGAAGGGAGATGGACGTGGCCATTTGCACTGCCGCTGCGAAGGGAAGAACCGGCCCCCTGCAGTTCAGGGCCCTAGGCATGTGCCTAGTTTGTCTGTGTGTTAATCCGGCCCTGGTGCTCTGGACCACTCAGGATCAGCCTCCCTAGGGTTTTATTTTATTTTTTTTTTCCAATTTGATAGGTTGGTGCCTCTGGAGACGTAACATGGTACAACTCCATTTGCCAACCTGCAAGCTGTGGGTCAGAGTCTCTGTACATTGCAGTCAATAAGTGGTTTGAATTTCCAGCCTGTTAAAACCTTTGCAGTTCTGCTGTAGCTTCTCCAAGCTTGGCTATTGATTTAAACTTTTCCTGATGTTTCCAGAGGAGCGGTTCTCACAGATACAACATGCTCTATACTAGCACAGTGTCCTTTGTTGTTCCTTATTGAGGAATCTGTTGTTAAACGACATTGCCTCCTTTTCTAAGAGCTGTGGGGAAAAAACCAGCGGAGCCTGGCTGCCCTTCTTAGCTAGGGGACAGGAGCCTCCTTGATGTAGTGGCCCTGCATGAAAAGGTCAGTGCTTGTATTTATTCTTGGCTCCTGTCCAAATGGACTTTGAGAAGGTTGTCTCTGTGCGGCAGTGAAACCAATTTTTATCTCATTAAAAAGGGATTTAAATTTTTTTGTCTCTAATGACATTAAGTCATTGCCTGTAGTCAGGGCATAGGAGCGAGAGGGATCATTTTGTAAGGAAGGGGAAACCCAGGGTGGCTCACTTAGTCTAAACCTGGGGCCTGTTGGCTAGCTGTTTCCTTAGCAATCCTCTCTTCTCTTCCCTCAAATTCGTTCTAGGGTTATGGGCCTGGATTCTGCCCTCAGAAACACATACATTTCCCTCTAAGTTGTCTTTCTGAAGCATACATAGCAGCTGGTTGGACATAGTTTAATGATCTGACTGTGCAGGGCTGGGACAGCAAGTGTCTGTATTCAGTCACTGTCCAAACACCACACCTCCCACTTTATCTTCCACATACATAATATGGAGAGTAGGGCTTGGAAGATGCAACTTTCTCACAAAGTCATGGGGCCTCTATGCAACCAACCGATGTGTTTGTCAGAAGTAAGCCATGGATCGTCTTCTGAGACGCCCTGTAGCACCGCAGTGCACCCCTCAAGGTCTGGCAACTTCAACACCGGAAGCAGTGGCCTGTGCAGAATATTGGGACCGGACCACATAGAAAGGCTGGATCGGAGACACGATGAAGAAGACATAATACAGTAGTAACGTTCTGGTAGAGCCTTGGGATCCCAGTTCCCATGGTGCTGAGCACCACACAGGCACATTCGGCAATGACCCCTGCCTCAGGGGAGTTAACACTGCACTTGAGGCATGAGTGTGGATGATGCAGTTATGGCATGTGATGGTGAAGAAGAAGGTACTGAGATCAGAGCAGGGGGTTACATGGGGCAGCCACATTCAGGCACACATGCAACCCAGGCTTGCTGGCTTTTTAATTTAACAGTTACATTAAAAATTGCTAACACCAACTGCCCCTGACTGACACCATCATTACTTGGGGAATTTCTTGTCTGGGTCTCACAGAAGGGCTTGGATGACAAGGTTAGTTTAAGGAGGGGGTGCCAGGTAGCACTGAGAACCTAGTGTAGGAGAGGTGCAGGCACTGAAAATCGGGGGTTGTTTCTACAAAGCAGGTGCCACTTGGTGCTGGGTCTCCATGTTCAGAGCAGACCTGGCCACCAACCGGGGTCCTGGAGCTGTTTGTTTTACTCCTGCTGAGGAGCTAGCCCATGACGGCCTGCCCGTCCCTACAAGAAACAAGTCCAAACCTAGAGGCCCCGAGTCGAGCACCGTCCGTTGGTGTAGCGTAGAGATCTTGGCTTTGTGTCTTGCTCGGTAACTTTGTTTAGAAAGCTTTCCGATGAATGTGTGCGAGAGCCAGTGGTCATGTGCAGCCTTTTCCACGTCGAGCAGGGCACTGACGGAGGGCAGGCTGTCTGTCAGGTGTTTCCTGTGTACAGTACAAGGCTGTGTGGAGAGAGGGTTTGTTGTTACAGAAAAGCCCCAGCCCGCGTGCAGTCTCCTATTTCTGAGAGATGATCACCCTCTCTCGCTGAGACTGGCAGGGCTGTATTCCCATTAGTCATTAGTCCTCGAGGGGCTTGACGTTTCTTAGCTCATCAGTCGGCAGCCAGACTATCCTGTCCCTGTAAAGACCTAGGACGCATGAATCAAAATAGTTGTGTGATGTCATGTCATAATGTGAATATGCCCTGACCAATTGGTGCCAAGAATTGTCTGTACAGCATGGTTTCCTTTTACAGTCTCTTTAAAGAGACATCATGCAGAACTGCACATGACAATTCCCTTCAAGAGGGCTTGTGCCTCTTTTGCATATTGAGTAATTTTTAAAAGGGGGGAGCTTATCAGCCCATTACTGACCTCTTCTGCATAAGCTGATCCACTCTGGAAATTGTGCTTCAGTCTCTGAAACTTCCTGGCTGCTTAAGGCTAAGAGCTGCAGCTCCGGTGGCTGCAGGCACCACAGGCTTTTAAACCTCTCTTGGTATCCGCAGATACTTGCTGACTGGTTACTGTCCTGTAGGTGTTCCAACTGGGAGTGCTTTATATGTGGACCGGGCCACTTAGGAGCTTATTGCCATGAAGATATGAACTGATATGCCTTGGGGCTGCACTTCAGGATTTCACAAGCTGAGGCTTTTTGGAGCCACGTGATCTTTCTGTCGACTTTTGGGACTTTTTTTGGCCTCCCTTGACTGCCTGCTGACCTGACTTATTCACCTGCCCTCCCTGTTTCCCTGACTTATTCCACCTTTTGCTCAGATCCGCTCTCCCTACTTCAATCCCGGGTATGACTGACAGCTGCAATTGCTTTGGTGCTCACTACAGCTCATGAAGCGTTTTGGCAGTTTTAGAGGAAGCAAGAAACGGAAGGACCAGTGCAAAAGCTCTGAGAGACGCCAGTCTGAACCTCATGGCCTTTTAGGTAGGGAAACTACCGTGCTAACCATCATGTGGACAGATTATTCTTTGTGAACAGGGCTTGTCTGAGTATAAAGCATTAAAGCAACTTTCTGTTCCTGAATGCTATTGATTCAATTGTGTAATTGCTGTGATTAGGTGTTTATGGGGACGTTTACACAGTTTGGCACCTGACATGAAAAGCTAAACTAAGCTATTGTCTTTAGTATATGCATCTAAACCAGTAGATAAGGAATTGATTTTCCAGACTATTTTTTTCCAAGTGGCTTTACTGTAAATAGATTATTGTAAACTGTGAAGTTCATCCTAAAGGAGCTGTTGGATTGTAAATTTCACATCTGGGGATTGTCTTCCTTGAAAACAGAAAATTAACTCAAGTGTTACTTTAGTAAAAGTATGAATGACGTATTTGCTGAATGTAAAGGTAAATGTTAAGAGTTTCAGTTTGTATGGAAGATGAAAACTATTACGTGCTATAAGTGACCTCTTTTTTTAAGCCCTGTCCTTTTAAGACTGTGCTTTCCAGTAGAGTCATGTTGGATCTTTCATTTAAGACCAACCTCTGTCAGACACTAATGGTTGCTTGCGATTGTGTGCGTGTCTGTGTGTGCGTATTGGAGGGCGGGTATAGCATGCGTTCTATTTGAGACCAAACCTGGCAACAAGTTTCAGAGATGAGTGAGTTGGCTGGCATGCCTCCGCCACTCTGGCATGCACTCTCTTCGGAAAGTGAAATAGCTTCTGTGCTGACTTCCACCTGACGAACAGCAGAAGCTATAATTCAGGAACGTTGGAATGAATTACCGGCATTGCTGAGCCACCGTTATTTTGTGCACAGTGTGTTTTGCAGGAAAGCACAAGTCTGCTGAGAGAAGGGATAGAAACTCACCAGGTGCGGTGGGCAATATTACGTGGAGTCAGCGGGAGAAGGTCGGAGTTCAGTGGGGCCAGTCGATTCACTGTGCCGAGCTCAGTTCTGGTCTCACTGTGCTGCAGTTCAGCACTAACTGTGCTGAAGCACTTGGTGTAAACCCAGTGTGAGAGTTGCATATGGATTTTGTATGGAGGTGCCTGTGTAAGTGTGTCAGCCTTCCACCATCTTTTATCAGTGTATTCCGGCTGATTGATTCAAGGTGTGTCCCCAACCTCTAAGTTCATCTGCTCTGCTGTTAGTCTCTCTTTCACCAGTAGTATTCTTTGTTTTCTTTCTGTGTGACTGAGGGAATGGGCCTGATTCTGCTCTCCACTGAATCGGGAGAGACACTCCTGGCTCGGTGAGGATACGTTAGTGTGAGGCTTGTGTATGTGATGAGGCAGTGGGTTTGGGAGTTCGACAGTGGGGATAAAAGGTGGAGTCTAGCACAGGGAAAGATGCTGCTGCCTATCACACAGCGATAAGGTGAACTGAGACTATAGACGCCCACAAAAAAGTGGGACTCTTCCCAAGCTGTCAAGGGACCCCCTGGGCTCCCAGACGGGGAAGAGCATGTGTGGTATGTGCTCTCTCAGTCTGGCGTAGGATGCTTTCAGGCAATGCCTCCTGCTTTAGCCACGGTCAGCCTCAATGAGATGAGGGTGCTCAGTCAGGTTCTGGGGGACACTCGCAGTCTTGCTCCAGCAGCAGGTGGCTGGCAGCAGGCCACCTGTTACATACAGGCTCACTCCAGCATCAGTGCTCTCTGTGATCCCAAGCAGCCAGCGTTAATCCTCCTGCACAGAAAATAATTCATCCTGCCGCAGTAGCGGTTGCTACAAAAACCTTCCTGCCTTGGACTGTGTTAGAGAGACAGCATAAGGGAGAAGTGCAGAAAAGGGTATATCTCCTGCTCCCTGCACTGCCTCCTTCCTGTCTAACTAAAATGCATGCGAAGATTTCAGTGGCATGAAGCTGAGTGCAAGCTATAAAACACCAGCCGAGTCCTTACCAGCTTCCAATAATTGCTCTCATTAATCTTGCCATGTAGCCCACCCTGGTGGCACAAAAACAGAATTAGGAGCATATTTACTATGCAGAATTTCTATCATCAATATTTAAAACCCAGCCCCAGCTTGCTCACTATGTCTGAGTTTCTTCAGGAGCAAAGGGCTGCAGGTGCTTTCCCACAACCCGACTGTAGATCACAAGGGCAGGAAAACAACAATACAGTGTGTATATTTTATTGCCTTCCTTGGATTAGTTTCTGTTCCAGGGATCCCAGCAGAATCCGTTCTCTTCCAAATGTGGACTAATATTTACAAAGGCAAATTCTTTTTTTTCAGGCTATCTTAATTTATTGCAATAAAATGTCAAAACAAAAGCTTTTCACAATTTGCTGAATTAATCTTCACTAAAAGAACCCGGTTGTATCTACAAGGCCTGTGTTGAACCCCCCTGGAAAATCATTCAGCCCCAGCAACTCTAAAGGGAGACAAGAGGGCTCAACAGATGTTGGGATCAAGTATTTGTTATTCATCTTTGACTGCATTTGCAACAGATGCCTCTTGTGGCCCTTGAGGTCTGGTAGCATGGGCCAGGCATTCTTTCTGGTTTCTTTGCTGTCAGAATAGATGGCAGCAGTCTGCTTCTGCACTTTTAAAGTGGTGGCATTGGTGAAGATGTGGGAAGGCTCTGAGTGAACTGGAGCCCATGCAGGGCTTACCATGGGGAACTCATTTTGTTTCTTGCTGGGATTGGTTCAGTCCCAGAAGCTTCTTTCCTCAATAGTGGTGTAAAGGTACAGAAGAGAGAGAATCCTCAAGGCTTCCAGGATGCCATTTTCCATGCCAGGTGTCACTGGCCAAGTCTCTTGCTGGTTTGCACCCCTGTTCCTCTGGTCTTCAACTGAGCCCAGAGTTCCTGATGTTTCTTGGCCTCTTTCCACAAGCGGTCTAAGGAAGGGAGAGTCATAGTCATAGAGAAGTTGGGCTGGAAGAGACCTCCAGAAGTCGTCTAATCCAGACCCCTGCCTGAGGCAGGATCATCTCTTGCCAAACCATCTCATTCAGATCATAATCTAAACTCTTCAAAGAACTACTGTCAGACCTGATGCAACATAAACCTAACCTCCTAATCTGCCACAGATAAAGCGGGGGTACCATGGCAGCCAACGTCCTGCTTCTGTAAAATGTTGTTAATATGTGCTCAGGAGGTCCTAGGCAGAGATCCATGACCTTCGCTACAGAGGAAGGCAAAAACCCTCACAGTCCATACCAGTTTGATCATGGAGTAAAATTCCTTTCTGACCCCAAATATGGCCATCGATATGACCCTGAGCAGAGAGGCAAGACTCTCTAGCCAGGAACCTCTGGCTTTGGAAGTCACTGGCCCTAAAAAAATGGGCTCAGCCACTTGTTACAGGATCCATCTGCAGAGTTCCTAGGACTAACATTGTCCGAGGACTAATAGGTCCCAGCACTTGTACCCAGAGAGAGGTGTGCCTTGGGGCGAGGCCTGGTCTAGTGGATGGGCATAAGGGACCGGGACATAGGCAGTTAGGGTGGGTCACCTGGATAACAAGGGCAAGGTCCAAGAGCCAAGAAGCCAGAGTCAGGAGCCAAGGTGTTGAAGGGCTGGAGTCAGGAGCTGAGGAACCCGAGTTAGGAACTGAGGAGTTGAGGAGCTGGACTCAGGGGCTGAAGAGCCCAGAAGACGAGCCGAATCCAGGGCTGATCAGGGTATTCTGATCAAGCAAGAAACACAGCATGGCAGCCTTTTCCCAAACAGCTTGCTTCTGTCTGTTCTGGGCTTATAAAGGCATTTATGAGCAATGCCCTTTCCTGTAGCCCTGCGAGATGACTTAGGCTAACTCCTGACTACCTGCACCTGGGGCTTGAAGCTGAGTCTTGGGCAGCTGGGCCCAGGTTCATTACAACAGGACTCCTCAGCTGCCCAGTTATGGGACCTTTGCATGCTCACCCAAATCTGCAGGGGTCTCCACCAGAGCACAGCGCACTGGGCTTGGAGCAGGGAGAAGAGTAGTGGGACAGAGCAGTGAGAAGGAATGGGGATGAAGGTAGGGAGAGCTTTGAGTACAAGGTGGGGACACTGGGGCTTCATGGCCACAAGATGGGAAGGTAGTGCAGGACTCAGGAAGCAGGAGAGAGGCCCAGAGCAGCAAGAAAGGGCCCCTGTGGGGAGCGGGGTTGTCTGAACTTTGCCTTGCTCCTGCATCACCTTGTCAAAGAAATTTATGACTCGCTCCCCCTGTCCTAGTTATTAGTTCTGGCGACAGCCTGGTGTGTTGTAAATAGCTCTGTTCTGTGGCTTCCTCAAGGAGACGATATCTTGTCTGAGAGGGTACGAATGTCCTTGCCCTTTAAAGGGCACCATCTGTTCAGTGAAGGAGTGAACGACACAGGCAAAGGATGGGGTATTCCTGCCCTGTCCAGGCCAGAATCACCTCTGCTTTGAGGGCCTTTGCTGATACCTACACATCTGGGGAGCTCTATCACGCTCACTCACATTGATCAGCCTCACCTGGTTGTTAGGTTTGGGCCAAGGCTGCTGGAGTCTGGTCCTTGCCTCCCTGTCTGTGCTATTCCCTGCCTTGGTAAGCTTCAGCAGCTCTGGACTCAGACCTGCCGCAGACGTGCCAGGTCCTGCACCTCTGGAAGGAGGAAGGACAGGGAACAGGGCTGCAACATGGGCACCTTGCCAGAGGTCTGAACACTGCTCTTTGGGCCTGACTCTCCCCTGCCTTGTGCTGTGTTTGGCCTCACTTTCCATGGATGCAAATGGCTGTACAAAGTGGCAGGTGGTAAAGAGTGCAGGCTGCTGGGCTACCCTAGGTACTCTTATAGGCAAAACTAGGGGTCTGATTCTAATACCGCAAATACACTTGCACGTGAGCTCACGGGCTCTGAGTGGCTTCCTTCAGATCCACCAGTGGCTGCCTTGAAGTCTGGTAACCTCCACAGAGTAGTCTCAAGGTGAGAGAGTCCTGTGTAGGCTTTATGCTTATGGGTGTCCCATGCAAATTCCCTTGCTTCTGATCTCCATGGAAATGGAGCACCATTGCCCAGGGT